CAACCATAAAAAAAGTTATCAGCAAAAAACAGAAAATTTGTGGACGGAAGAGTGACAGACGGACAGACAGACAGACAGACGGACGGACGGACAGACAGAGTGATTACTATAGGGCACCCGCAAATCCTTGCGGGGCCCTAATAAGCATTGATATATATGTTTTATTTTTCCTCCATAAACTGTCAAGATTATTTTAACACAATACCAGACTGATAGATTACTGGTACATTACAATAACTTTTACAAATACTCACAACTGAATAAACCATCTGTAACAATAAGTAGAAATTAGAATGTGCTGTTAGTCACAGCTAAAACCGAAATTTAAAAAACTCATTGCCGTTTGTCATATAGGAGGAAACATGAGGAATTGCGTAAAAGCAAGAATCTAACCGCAACAGAAAATAAAAAGACGGATTGTATTTTCGAAACATTGGTAATGTTTTATGGGTATTTTAACGCCCACAAACCCACATTTTCACCTATTACATTTGAGAATTTGCTTTTATTTTAGCCTTTAAGATCATTATTTTACTTATAAAAAAAGATAAACAAGAAATATAGCCAAGTCCCAGGACTTAGGCGAATTCTAAATGCCGAGTCCGGATCCGGAATTGGTTAGTCAGGGACGTCAGGCTTGAGGATTTTTGAACCCCTGATACTTGTATACCAAATTTCATTTCAGTATGTGCAACGGTTATGAAGAAAATGAGCGGAAACTAAATGGACCGACAGACCGACCGACCAACCGACCGACAGACAGCAGCAAAGCAATATGCCCTCCCTTCTTCGAAGGGGGGCATAAATATCAAGCATAACCATACAGGCTGTAAAACAAAATATCAGGCATAACCATACAGGCTGTAAAACAAAATATCAGGCATATTGCTCTTTGAAAAAAAATAAGTAATGTCCAGTGCCTGTGATAATGGTAGATTTTTCGCTGGCAGATTTTTACTCTGTATTTACTTTGTAATAACTGTGTCACAAGCTATATTTACTTTGTAATAACTGTGTCACAAGCTATATTTACTTTGTAATAACTGTGTCACAAGCTATATTTACTTTGTAATAACTGTGTCACAAGCTATATTTACTTTGTAATAACTGTGTCACAAGCTCCATCAGCTGTTTCTTCTGCTGTTTTGATAGTTCCTTTCCCTCGGTTGGGGTAGCAGACCTCTTCCCACCCTCCTTCTGTCTTTTATTCTTTTTACCCATGATGATCCTCTAAAAAGAAAATAAAGAAAAATCCTTATATATACAGTCAGGGATGAGACTGAAATCCACCATTCTGAAAATAGGCAATAACCATGATAACTAGTAACTGATAATAAAATCCATTTTTAAAACAATACATTCCTCATTATTTTGAAGAAAATGACAAAATTTAGAGTGTATCTAGAATATCTTTTAAGAAATTATAGATCCATCAACCCCAAAAAAGCCAGAAAACATTGTAAAAAAAACTTGATTTCTCAAATACATTGAACATGTTGAACTACAAATTTGTTATAATGACAGTATGAAATTCCTGTTCAAATACATGTATAAATGTGCAAGAGTTATTTGTCATTTTATTTGCACCAAAATAGTGAAGAAGAAATAAAATGATATTTTGTCTTTATACTAACATAGGGGTTGGGTGCACTGAAATATGATTTCACCATGGGACACTACTTTTAAAAAAAAATTATTGCTTTAACTTTTTGTTGAAGCTTTTTAGCCATTTTATATTGAATTTATGACCAACTTCTAACTTTATATTGAATTCTCTGTTAAATTCTTTTACTCTGATTGGCCAATAGCAAAGGTCAGAAGAGTTCAGAATGTGTAATCTCACTAGAAGGCCAGTAAAGGCTTTGTTCGAAACGGATCATGAAGATGGTATTCCTCCAGATGATCAATCCCATAGAGGGTCACGACAGAGGTCAAATCATAAACACCAGCATTTTTGCTTTATGAAGTTATTCTTAATTTCAAGCTCAAGTCTTAGTACTTCTAGTTAGAATAATCTCATTGTCAGAGTGTCTCAATAAAAGTCCTTACCACACTTAGAATACCACCTATATACTCAAAATGTAGCAAAAAAAAAATATTTGCACCATTGCAGAGAAAACGGGAGTAGCTGAGGTCCAGTGTGGAATTGTAGCACTCATCAAGATAAAAATCAAATTGGAAAGGGCTACATTATTGCAACTGTGACAAAATATGCAGGTACATCCATCAATTTTCAGAATGATTGATTTCAGTAACCGGACTATATCCCCCCCCCCCTCTACACTACAAAAAAGTAATCACTTAATTATAATCCAAGATTCCTCTGAACCTAACTCTTGAGACTTGAGAAATCAGTAAAATAATTATTCTCCTACTTGTTAATCTTCATTAAAAGGATGCTTTTAAATGTTGCTATCATTGATAAATGAAGCATCACTTGATATTAGGTCGCCTCCTGGCCATTCGATTGATGCGCATGATGTCAGCACACAAATACACAAAATTCCATTCAGTATGAAAGTAACACGTGCTCAAAAACATGTGTGTGGCTTACAGAAAAATATGAAAGTGTTGTGAAAAAAAAACATAAATCAACATAATAATGTTTTATTTATTTATTGGTAAGAAAAGCAACTGTCAAAAATGAATTCTATGCTAATATGAGGTTAGGAAACAGCATTAACACAGGGTTGCAAATAACCACTCGCCCACTCGCAAATGCGAGTAAATTTTCCTGTGGGCGACCAGCTCTTGAGAATATTATCGCCCACATGGCGAGTAAGAATTTTATCGGACCTTTTCCGGAATCAGATCGTAGTTAGGTTCAACTATCCAATGTACTTTCGTTTTCATATCCCAGGCGGATTTTTCTGTGCTTGATCATTCAGCTGATTTCTTTTTTTAAATATTAATTGAAGCCTTATTTGAGATACAAAATATGTCAATCTAGTCAACGTTTACCTTAAATTTAAAGAGTAATCAATATTGTAACAAGAATCCCCCCATTCTTTTTCTGCCGCTATAGGCAGCCATGTTGGGTGTCCACTGTATATGTAACACCTGGTTAATTCAGTCCAGGTATGTTTGGCTCCTTTATTTTAAAAAAAAAAAAAACGACATACCGACCCTTGGTTATTTGGGAATGTTACAAGAATCAAATATTTTTTAAGCCTAATTCAAAATAAATGCCCTGAAACAACTTAAATCAAAAGAAATAAAAATTGAATTGAATGATAACATATGGAATTTCATACATTTAGTAGTGTAAAAGTCTGCAGGAAAAATTTGAAAAGAAATAATGAAATACTATGGCGATACAGTATTTTTCTCTTATGTTTTCATATGAAAAGATTTTTTACAAAGTGAAAAAAAAAATTATGGGCTCCATAAAATCAATGTGGGCTAGTAAAACTTGTGAAGTTGGGGGCCCACATGGCCCCTAAGGTTTAAATGTTATTTGCAACCCTGATTAACAGCACACATGATATTATCACGTAGTTTTAAGAATGTACAATCCATGTACATAAATCCGGCAAGTACATGAATATATGTACCAAGCAAGCTGTTTGAGTAACACTTATTAAGAACTGCAACAATATTGAAGGAAAAAATATGATTTTTAGAAATAAATATGGTAATTTGTTTGAGTTTGTTATTTTTTTTTTCATCGCGGGGAAGAGGAGGGGGATGCTCAGAGAAATTTGATTTTGCACATTTCTTTCATATGATAGAATTTCTCAAGATTTTAAACAATTAACAAAACATATTTTCATATATTTTCAAAGCAATTCGAAATACAGCGCATTTCAAATAACTTCATATATATGCTTAAAAGAGTTCAAAACGTAAAATATACTTTGATTCTGTTGAGCCCCGTAAAAGACGAATTTAAATGAAGTACAGTTCGGACTGAACAGTTTAAAAATTTTAAAAAGTAAATTATCAATGGAATAAGAAAAAATTTGCTTGCATAACTACCACATTACAATAAAGCATCGTTTGGAAATTAGATTTGGTGAATTAAGATCAAGAATAATGAATAAGAATGAAGATGGCAAAGGCTCTATAACAGACAGTTTATTATCTTAGAACATAAGTTTTGAATAAAATGTGATAACATATTTTCAGTTCGTAAAGCATAAAATTTGAAGAAAAAATCAATCTTCTTTACTCTGAATATATTTTGAATTTGTACATTTGAAAACGGTCAAGTTTTGTGGATTGGAAGCCATATGTCAGCGTAAGTGGTCGAAATTACCCCAGTTTACCCTAGCTCCGCGTAGTAAAGTTGTAAAAGGTAGGCAGAGTTGCGACACCAACTGGTTTCGCCGAATACCCAGTTTTCAATATGGCCTCTGCTCTGACTCGCCCCCGCACAAGTCATAATATAAAAGCTGGTGTTAGAGTCAGAGGAATCTCGGATTAACTAATTAAAATTAGAACATGACATCATAGCACTCAAAATAACATAAAAACTGTCAATTTTACTAAAAAAAATGTTGTAAAACCTTAAAAAAAACACAACACTTATTTTTGCATTGTGTATCAATCCTGATCAACGTGAGACTGAATGATGCATGTATCAGTTTACATCCACTCCATCACTCCTCAGTTTTGACACTTCCATATAGGGAAACTGCAGAGTATTGCATGAAAACATCAAAAAAATATGATTGCAATTGAAAAATTGTTTAAACCAACTAAACCAACAATATCTACCTCGTCGTAAAGAAAAGGGAGTCAGCAGAGCCCAGTATTTACTCCTCCACTTCTCTGTAACCGGTGCACGGTGTAATATTTTTCAAGGTACCGCAAATCGTTCTGCTCCGTTAAGTTTACGACATCATTCATGAACGTTCTGTTTGTTTTCACAAGTAATGAAAATTATATATTCATGTAAAATAAAGATAAATAGATTATTTTCTTTATTTGAAACACGTTGTTTATTCGGAATAAAGTTAAAAGGCTCTGAAAATATTTACGACATCCGTCATTTGTGTCGCATCCGCTTTAAAATCGTAGTGGTCTTCAAGTTCTAGTTAGAAATTTATCGACACTTGGCTTTTTCAGAGGATCTGAGGGTAAAATATCGTTACTAAATTTTACTTATAGATAAAAATGCTGTTTATTTAATATGTTTTACGGTGTGACCGTTGGGGCGAGCGCAGTTTATTTACATACCATAAACCTACACATGTACTGTCTATCATTCACACAGGCACCTGAAGTATGTATAATATACCCCCCTTTTTTTAATGAAAAAAAATGTAAGAGTGTATAATATCTCAAAAATATATAATTTCCCCGTCAAACACATCTATATGTCGTTATATGCAGGCAGATTGTACTTTTTCTCACGTTTAAAGAATGGCCTTATTCGGTATAATAAAAATACACAAGGTAAGAAACAAAAGTTGTAAACAAACAGGGAACCCCTATTTCGAGACAGATTACCAAGGTAATAATTAATGTTACCTATCATAATTTTGCAATCACTCTGTCTGTGAGATGTTCTTTGATTAGTCTCTTTAACCTAAACCCCGCTATTAGCGTTTGATATGCCGTAATCAGACGATTTAATAATCGGATACATAGAATTTTCTCCATTGGCAGCGTTAAAGGAGGTTTTGGAGCTGTTTTTCTGTTTCGCCTTATCTGATTGCTAATTATAATACAGTTTATAATACAGCTTCGCGACGCTCGCTATAATTTGAAATTTAAAGAAATGAGATACGAAAAGAAATAGTCATCCTGATCCATTCATATTCGGGAAATCAGGAATCACAGAAACAGCGAAATGCCCGGTGTAACCGTGTAGATTTTGTTAGGTACCGCTAGGGAATTCTATTTTTAGAGTGACTCTGAATACTAATGACAGTTTTCACTGGTACACCGTCAATCACCGAATTTCCATTAAAAAATACCGCGTAAATCATTAAATGATCAATGAAATTGAAATACACATTCATAATATGTGTTTATTTTTTCATGATTTTTCATTAAATAAAGCTTTATGTAAGACCTACCAAATGATTTAGGTTTAGGCAGAAGTTATCAACCTGGGTAGGTTGTTTAGTATAACACCTGACTTGAGATTCAAGGGGCCTGGGTCCAAATCAAGTCTATATTCCGCTGAATTTTTCTCTTTTCCCGTTACATTTGGTATTGTGTCATCCCCTGGAAGTGACAGTAAAAAGACCTGATAGGGATGAGCTTTGGTTGGTCTGAAGACATTAATTTAACTTAAGGTGGAAGGAATGTGGCGGTCAGATCGTACGAGTTCAATCTCCATTTGCTAAAGCTCAATAGACCGTGACTTCAGATTAAGGGGGTCATGTTGGAATCTCAGTCTGGTCCACTACATTTTCCACTTCTGCCAATTTGTGAAAATAGATGATTTTTAGGTAACAGGGTAGACTGATCTGGTCCCCAGATCCTTAAGATCTGCATGTTCGATGCACTATGATGCAAGACTAATTTAATGTCACTTCAGTCAAATGACATTCTGGGCTAAAAAGTCTTGCAACCACCTAAAGAGATTAGGGTAAGTCCTTGCACATGTATTGGACTGAATAGTGTAATAGCCTCACACAAAATGAATCCCAAGAGACAAGGCTTATACCTCACAGACTATTTGATTGAAAAGGGTTTGTGTAGCATCTGTGCAGGGGATTTGGTTCCTGTACATCCAAGACATTAGGGTTAGTGTCTTGATCATTTAGATTAATCAAGAAATTGATTTGCATCAGAGCCATCTGTAATTTTTTTAACAAGATCTTTCAGCTTCAACATCTCATTTGTTTAGTGAATGTTTTAGAGAATGAGGTGAACATGGCAATAAACTATATTATTATAGCGCTACTGTAATTACACTCAGAGTCTATATAAAATTGATACCATAAAACTGTGTATTTCCCCGAGAAAAAACAATTTCCCTCATCTGAAGACTACTCCCTGGAAAATCAGAGCTACTCCCTGGGACTGCTCCCTAATGAATATTTATTAGTAATTTTAACCAATCAAAGTGTTCAGTGGGTGGAGCGTTCAAGGAATCTTGAGTCTGTGACGTCATGTTCTTAGCAATGTAACTATGACGTCAAAAAATTTCGACATGAGATGTCAAAATCATACTTGAATTCTATCAAAATGAAAACAACGATAATTCGTCGAAATGTCAGTGAAAATACTTTTTAAAAATAATTTAATTGTTTTAGGACACAATGTATTATTTATCATTCAATCTGTTAAACCACATGCTTGTAACTATGCCTATACAGTGTTTTTTTTTTTTTAATGTAGGAATATCTGGTAAAAAAAAAAATTAATCGCATATGATTGTTTCGGTATAATAAAACAGTTATGGAATGTGAACTCGAGAAATAGCAAATTTATGGTTCCCCTTGGCAGGAAACTATTTCCCTCGGCGGCTTCACCGCCTTTGGAAATGTAGTTTCCTCCCTTCAGGAACCATATATTTGCTATTTCTCTCGTAGCCATTCCATAACTGTATAATATTTATAATTTTTACACATACATGTAATAACATGTTTAAAAAAAAGTTTAAAGCAAAACTTTCTATTGAAGACTGGTTTTATTTACAAGAATTAGTTTTTAACTTATTTGCAGATGAAATTTTTTTTTCGAAAGTATCATTATTACCATGATTACAACACTGAATTTTTTTTACAGATGCCTTGTTGGTACTTTGAGAAAAAAGAACTCAAGAATACGCCCTCTATACAGGATGGGCTGGATTACGCGACAGAGGCTCGTTACAGGAGAGAGGGAGCTAGGTTTATCATCGACGCTGGGACAAAAATGGGACTGTATCCTTTATCAAATTAATATCCAACAAATGTCAAAGGCTGCTATTTAATTATATTGGATGTATGGACCCAGAGAGGCCAAGTCTATGGATGGCTAATTTTAGACAAATTTGAAAATTTACAGTTGACATGTTCAAAGATACATGCATATGTAAATATGTATTGCCATTAGGTTTTCATTTTTGAGCAGAAATACAACAGATACTGTCGTTCAAGATTTATAGTTTACATGGATATACCTATATAAATATATACACTTTGATGTAATACAGTTGAACTTTGGTATCTCAACACCGATAACTTGAATATCATGGATATGTAAGGGTGATTTGAAAGTCTTATTCTTTAAATATTTTACCTTCAATATCTGCATTCCTCAGATATCTCAAAGGTTTTTTCCTTGGTTTTATCAAGTTAGAGATAAAGAGGTTTGACTGTATTTAAATTTCACATCAAACTTGAAATGAACACCTTAACATCCACCAGGAGATATGATACGTGTGCCACCGGTGTTGTCTATTTCCACCGGTTTTACATGTTCCACTCATTCAAGGAGTTTCATCGCTATGTAAGTTTGTTTTTAATTGTACCGGAACAAAGTAAGTTTGCCTTTATACATCTTTGTTGCTTTTCAAACAGATGACTTGAATTTTAAAATCAATTTGATTCATTGACAAATCACAATGCATATATTCTTTGATCTTATCTAAAATCGTAATTAAACTCTATTAGCATGATTAGAAATAGTCATCAGTACAGAGTTGTATTTCTTTGTTTTATTTTCTGTACAGATCACGGCTGCCTGCTGTGTATTTCTGGCTGGTACAGAGTTGTTTTTCTTTGTTTTATTTTCTGTACAGATCACGGCTGCCTGCTGTCTATTTCTGGCTGGTACAGAGTTGTATTTCTTTGTTTTATTTTCTGTACAGATCACGGCTGCCTGCTGTCTATTTCTGGCTGGTACAGAGTTGTATTTCTTTGTTTTATTTTCTGTACAGATCACGGCTGCCTGCTGTCTATTTCTGGCTGGTACAGAGTTGTATTTCTTTGTTTTATTTCCTGTACAGATCACGGCTGCTTGCTGTCTATTTCTGGCTGGTACAGAGTTGTATTTCTTTGTTTTATTTCCTGTACAGATCACGGCTGCCTGCTGTCTATTTCTGGCTGGTACATATATATTATTATAACAGTAACTTGATCCGAAGGGTCGTATCACGTCGAGTTGACAGGCGCGGATCATCAGATATAACGAGACGCGCCTGTCAACGAGACGTGATACGGCTCTTCGGATCAAGTTACTGTTATAATGATAAATTTATTATAATACCCCCTCACAACTAGCAAAATAAAACTTTAGAGATAAATTGTATAATATTTATCAATAAAACAAAGCATTATAACAAGACTTTTTAACACGCAAGAAAAATAACGTCATGTTTCTGCGTACTACGTCATCAGTTTCAGAGAGTGCATGGTGATATGGATTCAGAAAACAACATGTTGGTGATCCGGAAAATCGGATCACGACGTCACTTGATAGCGTAAATTCAACAGTCAAATTGAATGATACACATTAGGTATATAATAAAGAGTTGTATTTCTTTGTTTTATTTCCTGTACAGATCACGGCTGCCTGCTGTTTATTTCTGGCTGGTACAGAGTTGTATTTCTTTGTTTTATTTTCTGTACAGATCACGGCTGCTTGCTGTCTATTTCTGGCTGGTACAGAGTTGTATTTCTTTGTTTTATTTTCTGTACAGATCACGGCTGCCTGCTGTGTATTTCTGGCTGGTACAGAGTTGTATTTCTTTGTTTTATTTTCTGTACAGATCACGGCTGCCTGCTGTCTATTTCTGGCTGGTACAGAGTTGTATTTCTTTGTTTTATTTTCTGTACAGATCACGGCTGCCTGCTGTGTATTTCTGGCTGGTACAGAGTTGTATTTCTTTGATTTATTTTCTGTACAGATCACGGCTGCCTGCTGTGTATTTCTGGCTGGTACAGAGTTGTATTTCTTTGTTTTATTTTCTGTACAGATCACGGCTGCCTGCTGTGTATTTCTGGCTGGTACAGAGTTGTATTTCTTTGTTTTATTTTCTGTACAGATCACGGCTGCCTGCTGTATATTTCTGGCTGGTACAGAGTTGTATTTCTTTGTTTTATTTTCTGTACAGATCACGGCTGCCTGCTGTCTATTTCTGGCTGGTAGAGTTGTATTTCTTTGTTTTATTTCCTGTACAGATCACGGCTGCCTGCTGTCTATTTCTGGCTGGTACAGAGTTGTATTTCTTTGTTTTATTTCCTGTACAGATCACGGCTGCCTGCTGTCTATTTCTGGCTGGTACAGAGTTGTATTTCTTTGTTTTATTTTCTGTACAGATTACGGCTGCTTGCTGTCTATTTCTGGCTTGTACAGAGTTGTATTTCTTTGTTTTATTTTCTGTACAGATCACGGCTGCTTGCTGTCTATTTCTGGCTGGTAAGGTGGAGGAGACACCTAAGAAATGTAAAGACATCATCAAAGTCTGTCAGTCTCTGCTGTCACCACAACTCTTCACTGTGTTTGGGGAGGATCCAAAAGTAAGTTTAACAAATTCTAAGTCCTCTTACATCTGTAGGACATCAAATGTTTACAGTGTTAGGGGAGGATCCAAAAGTAAGTAGACACAATTAAACCTTTCTGACATCTGTAGGACATCAAATGTTTACAGTGTTAGGGGAGGATCCAAAAGTAAGATAAAACAGTTAAAAGTCTCCTACATCTGTAGGACATCAAATTTTATTGGAGGATCCAATATAAAGCTAAACCAACCAAAACAGTCACAGTTCTAGTTTTACCCTCAGATTCATGCTTTTTGTAATAAAAAAAAAGAAAAGTGTCTCAATTTTCCTTATAATTGAGATTTGATTTTCATTTTTAAAAAAATACCTGTGCACATATCTTAAGATTATGGCAGGGAAAACAACTGGACTAAGTACCCATGTTTGTGTCTATTTTCAGGAGGAAGTGATGACAATGGAGAGAATTTTACTACAGACCATCAAGTTTGACCTCCAGGTGGAGCATCCCTACTCTATACTGCTCAAGTTCGCCAAAGTACTGAAAGGTAAGGGAGTCGTTATACTGTGTTAGATCTTATCAGTAGCTAAGAAAAATTAATGTTTGTAGCATTTAAATGAAGAGAAAAAAACATTTTATGTGCAAGTATCATCATACATTTTGATACTCAGTTCTTGAAATCATGCCCTCTTCTTATTTACTGCTTTCATAAAAGAAAATGAATACACATAAAAATATGTCAAGAAATGCAAACTATGGCCTCAGATTATAATTTCAATTGACTTATTATTCTGTGAATATCATTATGATTATTTATCCAAGTTTGATTGTCATTTCTTTATTTTTTCAGGAGATAAAGAGAAAATTCAAAAGTTGGTTCAGATGGCGTGGACCTTTATCAATGACAGGTAAGTCTGGTCGAGGAAACTATGAGTTAGCGGTATAGCCGGGGTAAATATAACTACAGAATCTGAAGCTTTGATTAAAGATTGTATAAAGATACAGTGAAAACCTTATTATCTCAAACTCAATTGCAAAAATTTTGAGATGAACAGAGACACTCACAATGCTCACCTTTGTCATACTTCCTGTATTCATAATTTTTTTGCTTTTTTCATTTACATGGAAATTTTGACCTCATACTGTGGTCTCACCCAATCCCCAAAAAATCATGGTTTAACGTGATTTACCTGAACTTTTAGCTAAGTTGAAATAAAAGTGAATTAGACATCCAACTCACTTGGACATATCCATAGTATTTTAGAATTTGATATTCAAGCATCGTCGCAAACCACGGCCAAAATGTACAATCCTCTCCCATTCTGGCCGTGGTTGAACGAGCAGAGAATTCGTCGTAGCTCATTAAAATTTTGACCAGTGCGAGTAAAGCATAGTCGGATGATGAACTTTATCGCGACCTTTCAATGTCCAATCGCAGTAAAGAAAATATTTCTTGTATACTGTTGACGTCAGGTGTTGATTTCAATTGCGATGGAAACAAAACTTGCCACTGACTGAATATGACGTCACAATAGAGAAGCGTAAATATTCAAGATTACGACGCTTTTTGTGATCAAGCAGCCACGGGTAGGAGAGAGCTATAAATGCGGACTCCGGACCGTGGCTTGAGACGATGATATTCAAGATACAGAGGATTAACTGTGTACATTTTATCCATAATTTCACAGTTTGGACAGTGTGTATTTTGATTCAGCAGACAAAGGCACTTTACCATCATCGTCATTCTCAAGTTGATGCTCAATGTTTGTACATCTGAGCTTGGATATCTCAAACATGAATATCTCGAAAACCATGGATATGTCAAAGTAATTTTTAAGTCAAAACTACTTATTCCTTTAGTATTTTACCCAAGTTATCTCAAATGCTCCGTTATCTAAGTTTTTTCTTGGTCCCTTCGAGTTCAAGATAATGTTGACTCTATGTGTTTGTATTTGCTTTCAGAGTTTAATACAATCAGTGTCTCTTTCATACTTCCAGTCTGTGTACCTGCCTATGTTTGCTGTGGGAGGCTGAGATAATCAGCGTCTCGTTGATGTACCTGGCGACGCGCCTGACTAAGTTTGACATCCAGGACTGGCATGGACGAGTCCCGGGGACGAGGACAAAGTGGTGGGAGTTCCTGGTAGAGGATATCACTGTAGACCTCATGGAAGGTTAGAAATCAATAATGTTTCAGAGAGTAATGCTAGGTTAGAGATTAGTGCTAGGTTAGAGATTAATGTTAGGTTAGAGAGTAATGCTATGTAGTGTGTGGAATTTAGATTTCTCTGATACCTAGTTAGAATAGTTAGAAATTTATACATTTTGTAAAAATTATGCACTAGAAGATAATTCTCAAATTTTAGATGCAGAGGAAGGGGTTAAAAATTCAAAATGTACATGTAAAAACAAGTTATCAAAGTTCAGTCCACGTTCTTCAACTTGATGGAACTGAGAAAAAATGTTGAGATTTCTGAGATTTCAGGTGTTATGGGTAAAAGCTGGTTGGGACTTCCAAATCACATTGACAGGTTCATAGTTTTAGAGAAGACCAACATTGAAGATACCAAAGTTCAAATGTATAAGAATAAAATTGGACAAGAGATGTCATTTCCCCAACCCCCAGATTTATAACTTTTTCTAGAAATTGTTAAAAATTGTTATTGTAGAATCTGTTACTGTAGCCATCTGTTTTGTTCTTTATAGATATCTGCCATGAAGCCTTAAATTCTTTTATCTAATTTATGTCCGTTACTGTAATTGTCCTGTTTATCTGTAGATATCTGTCATGGAGTGCTGGATCTGTACTCCTCCAACCCCCAGTCACAGCTCCGAGAAGATTCCCCGCCCACTACACCGGTCAAAAAGAGTGAGGTCAGGGACACCCCGCCACCACCCCCTCCAAACAAACGCAGCAGCACCGTAAGTTATACCACATTTACCCATACAGTTACACCACATTTACCAATACCATTACATGTACATCACATTCACCTACACCAATAGAAAAAAGTATGTTTCAAATTTATTGAGTATCCTTTTTCTACCAAATGATTTACTTAAATCAGAAAAGCTGTAGGCAATTGTTTAAAGGCTGCATATTCAATATTTTTAAATCTTGCAAAATATGAATTAAATGCTGCATTTTCTTTGTGATAAATGATTGTGTTTATCACTTCTATTTAGAGCCTCCCATTGGATGGTCCACCAGAAAAGGTGATAAAAAAGGAACGTAAACAGGACTCTCATCACTCTTCCTCATCAGACAGTCGCCCAACAAAACATTCCTCCTCATCCTCAAAACACACACCATCATCAGACAGTGGACACAGTGTGTCAAAGACCCCCACTACCAGTGTACCCCAGCCCCCCCTATCTGGGGCCCCACCCAACTCCAAGCTGG